CAGAATTTCTAAAAAATTGCAGCTGGTAGCGAAGCTGTACCTGGGTTTATTGTATAATCTGACATGTGACAGCTCAGTGTTAAATCCAGCATTGAACACATTCAGTCACACAGCCGTTCAGCACATCAATCAACTGGCTCACATCCAGACAAAAAGTGCAACTTCTGGCACTATCTCTGTGGAAACCAGCTGAATATTTCTTCTTATGGGACCATTACAGAAATAGTTAACTAGTTTCGATGGGCACACCCCTTCACCGCCAAGGCACCATCCATGCTTCATCCACTGCCGCTAATGAACTGTCCTGGTCTGGCGATTATAAATATGGTGAAAAGTATGGGAGATTTATCAAAGTGAAACAGCTGCTAATCCAGGTGGACAGCTCTAAATGTGGAGAGACAGTCTAGTGGTTTCCATGGTGATTGCTCCTTATTTAGCACTATTCCCCATCATAACACCTGTTTTACTTTGATAAATGCCTCTCAATATCTGTATTATTATCTGGAGGAACAGGGCATGATTTACCACTAGACAGAGGAGACAGCTGACTACAGGTGCCTGTCCTGTAAGGGGGGCCTGTTTTCATCACATATAATGAGCCTTTTTGGGCCTTAATTGGGTTTGTGGGAAAAGTAGTCCAGTCAGCCTCCCAGCATACCTGATTCCGGTAGGACAGACCTGATTTTTGGGTCTTGTCACAAGTTTTTTTCCTTGGTGTCTTGCTTTTGGGGACATCAGTAGCAGATCCCCAAAAAATGTAGCACAAGTGCATTATTAGATGCATTCACATTGTACTCAGGGCACTAGAACCCCGCACTAACACAGTGCAAGTTCTGCACTCAGAGGGCCGGACTGCTTGATTGGCAGGCATCCTGGAGTGTATTTACGCCAGACTGAATGTGCCCCATTGGGTGGAGCCACTCACTCAGTCTTATCACTAGTCGTCCCCCTTACCCTCCTCCCATCGGCACCCCAACAACATCGGGGGTATGCTCCTATGACTGATATCAGAGCTGCAGGAACAGTTAAAGAGGGCGTAAAACTCTGATATTAGAGCTGCAGGAACTGTGCCAGCCTCCAGTATCTGTGAGTGAGGCTGGACAGGAAGTGGACGGGATCACTTCCCATCTGCCCACTAACAGCCTCCACACAGGAAATGCCTTGCAGGAGAAGCAGGGGACGTTCTGAGTGATGAATACAGCTTGTGCATCTCTAATAGCAATAAGAGGAGGGTGAGTACAAGTAACCCTTCAAACCCCACATGTAAGCACTCTAAGCCTAAAGCCGAAAATAAACCCTTTACTAATTCTAGGTTTAACCCCTGTTAAACATAAATCACCTCATGTACCCCAATACTAAATCCAACCTGAGTCTTACACTAAACCCAATAATCCAAAACACCCCTTAGACCACGGTTATAATCCCTCTCAAGCTGTTATTCTTCTAAACACTAAGCACTCCATGTATTCTAACTGTAACCTTAACCCCTTACCATAACCACTTCTAACATTATCTTTAACCCTTCATGTATTTTCACAACTGCATACACTCCCTGTACTCACAGATTCAAACAATACACACATACATAAATACATGTTTATTAAACTCATTTTATCAGCCTATTTTGGGGGGAGGAGGGGGTCTGGTCAAAGGACACCTTAGTAATTATGTGCCTATTGGCACTGGACATGTAAATCCGACCCTGTGGAGGGATTGTCTTTTATTACAATCCAGATTAAAGAGACACTGTAGGCACTTTAACCGTGTCATCTCATTGAAGTGGTTATAGTGCCAAGAGTCCCCTGGCGCTGTCTCTGCATTCTATGTTAAACCATTTCCAGGTAGTTTAACACTGAATGAGGGTCTTTGGATTCCCATAGTTCCGCCGCCACTGAAGGTGTGGCTAATGCAGAGATTACACATTTTGTTCTAGCCATACCGATTAATATTAGCAAAGAGGCACTGTGATAGACTGAAAGAGGTCAGCTGACACTCTGAGCCAATCACAGCTGCCCATTACCTCTCAGGATAATGCTTCCTCATTAGCCCAAGCAGGACAGAGGGGATGGGCTACTGGGGTGGGGACTCTCATTTAATATTAAAACATTAAATACTGTTTAACGATGAATGGGAGGAGGGAACCAGGGGACTCTAGACACTATAACCACTTCAATGAGATGAAGCAGTTACCATTACTGGAGTGTTCCTTTAAGGTCTAAATTCAATTGCCTTCACTCTAGTTTGACAACTTATTCCTTTACACTAATGAAGTCAGAGAGGTTTACTCACTGAGTTGGCAATTTGGTTCCCTAGGGGTTGGGGCATCTGGAAGCTATTTTGAATCTATACCTGTATTTAATATGGACATATCTCCTGGTAACTTGTGCTGAGTTAGCTCTGAATATACACAGAGCATCATGGTATCTGATTCTGCAATAAAGGGGCCTTGAGCCAGGAGCTTATGGGCATGCAGGTAGTTGTGGTAGGTGAGCGGCGGTAGAGGATCAGGGGGAATTAGAACAGGGGGGAACCTGACGTACAAAATGATCAGAACAGACAGTGTATCTAGTGCCATGAAAGATCACCTTAGGTAAGTGGCCAATATCAGTTATGGTGGGAAGAAAAACAAAAAACAAATAATGCCTTGGAGTAACAGGAAGCCGTGATGTCGGCCATCACTGTGACCGTGGCAAAGGAAAGCTTCATCCTGTGTCTCTATGAATGGGAAGGACATTACAGCTTATTCCAACTTTCCACACAGCAGAGACCTTGTACCACATGTGCTGCTATGCCTTGAGCGCCGCTATTTTCTCGTTCACACGTGAATCAAACCTATAACACCAGCTCTGTCTGTATAAGGCAGGAATAGCCATCCAATCTTGCCGCCGTGTATCCGAGTCCCGACCGGGTCAAACTGAGTTCACAATTAGCCGAATACGGGGCTAAACGTGAAGGCGGAAAGGGCAACCGTATGTCTTAAATATTGTGAATGTCAGCGTCTTGATTGAAAAGTAATATAATATCAGACACTGTGTGTACACAGACACACAACAATTGTCTTTCCTCCGTCAGCTGTCTCAAAGTTTAATTTGTTTGAGTCTCGGCTTGTCCTTGTTCTGTGGATTTCCTGGCATTTATTATGTTCCTATTAAAGTACAGCAAATAGAAGCTCGCTAAAGGTCACCCTTTCTTTAGCGTTTGGAGAAAAGGTAAGTTAAATGTTATTTAATAAAAAGACAAACAATCTCTCATGTGCATCTAATGCACGCGTTTACTACACTGAGACAATTCTCAGGAAACGGTAAAAAATAAAAATGCACCCAGGTTTAGGTCGAGAAAAGTGTATTATGTCTCAAAAAAACTTTGATGTCTTCTACGCTGGAGGATTAGAGTCTTCAAACAACACACAGAAACCTAGTGATGTCTTGTTTCCATTTACTGTGTTTGAAAGTCACAGAGACCGAAATAGTCTGAGAAATAAAGCAATTTTAGTTTAAAGCAGAGATATTTGTAATATGTGGCAGCGGTATAATTGGGATTTGAAAGAAAAACAAGACTTTGGCAACGTCTCCTGATTGGAATGCAGTGTTAACGTCTGGAGCTTGTTACTTTGTTTGCTGGTGGTTCTAAGACCCAGAATACTTGTATATTATCGCTACTAGATTGATAGATATATTAATTGTGGAAATTTAACATGGGTGTAACTCTGGCGTTTACAGAATCAGGACACTGGTAAGAGGGGGGTAGAGGGTGGAGCCAGTGACGCAACCCACCCCCTTTACTGGCAGCCTCATATAAGGTCAGCCTACTAAGGCAGAACCTCCAGGAAGTACTGTTCCATGAAGAGCTGCACTTATTATGATTAATATTCTGTGGTATTGTAGAACGTGGAAGATGTGGCCTGGTTGATATTTTGTGGTATTGTAGGATGTAGAGTTTTGTGGTATTGTAGAACGTGGAAGATGTGACCTGGTTGATATTTTGTGGTATTGTAGGATGTAGAGTTTTGTGGTATTGTAGAACGTGGAAGATGTGACCTGGTTGATATTTTGTGGTATTGTAGGATGTAGAGTTTTGTGGTATTGTAGAACGTGGAAGATGTGACCTGGTTGATATTTTGTGGTATTGTAGGATGTGCAGTTTTGTGGTATTGTAGAACGTGGAAGATGTGACCTGGTTGATATTTTGTGGTATTGTAGGATGTAGAGTTTTGTGGTATTGTAGAACGTGGAAGATGTGACCTGGTTGATATTTTGTGGTATTGTAGGATGTGCAGTTTTGTGGTATTGTAGAACGTGGAAGATGTGACCTGGTTGATATTTTGTGGTATTGTAGGATGTGCAGTTTTGTGGTATTGTAGAACGTGGAAGATGTGGCCTGGTTGATATTTTGTGGTATTGTAGGATGTAGAGTTTTGTGGTATTGTAGAACGTGGAAGATGTGACCTGGTTGATATTTTGTGGTATTGTAGGATGTGCAGTTTTGTGGTATTGTAGAACGTGGAAGATGTGGCCTGGTTGATATTTTGTGGTATTGTAGGATCTAGAGTTTTGTGGTATTGTAGAACGTGGAAGATGTGGCCTGGTCCGCATTTCGTGACATCGAAAGACGTGGAAAGCTGAGCACAGATTGGCTTCTCTTTCTTTTCCCATGACATCCCCCACCTTCCAGCAGCGGTTCATTTGAGTGAAATCATCTAAAATGAATTAATGGTGGATTTTGCTGAATTAATGGATTTTAACATGCTGTGGTTTAACTGTATGAGTGCCAACGACGACAAGCAGTTCCTTTGTAGTAGAATCCATTTAACGTTCCCATCGTACAATGAAGAAACAGTCCTTTTGTTTTAAGTGGATGAGGGTGTATAATCTTTTGTTTTATATTACAATACAGGATCCAGCTTAATGTACCTGCAAGGATTCTTAGAAATGTATGCATTTAAATGTCAAGGTTCCCTTCCAGCCTTTTACTTTCATTATAAAGGCACCATTTTCCTGACACGAACGCTCTCTGTGTTTGGAGAACAAAGGACGCAGCTCGCATGCGTCTGAGCAGGTACCAGCGCGCCGATGAAACCGAACACTAATATTTGCAGTTCAAGGAAACGAGTGGCGGTGATTAAACAGGAATATTGAAACACGGCTGCGTTTTCCTGCTCAGTGATTGGCTGATACGCAGTGCGTCCTCCTATCGGGTTTTTCTGTTTATGCACGGGGTTCTCTGTATAAAGGGCAATGGGAAGCAAAGTGGTAAATGTTCCCCTGGTTTCCATGGTAATTGCTTTACTTTTACCATTTTGCCCCAGGATTACTCCTTATATGCGATATTGTCATTGCTACTCTGAAACGGCCTCGACCCAGGATCAAACACAGCAATATATCGCTCTGCTCGCTGTGTACAGGATCTGTTAACTTTTCTGATAGTTCTGCTCTTATTTTTTACTCAGATGTTGATTATGAATTGTGTATGAAACGGCATTACAATGGCCTGCGTTCACCTCTTAATTATAGGAAATTATAAAATATAAAAATTCTCCAGATTTATCACACGTTTTCTTGCAGTTCTGCCAGTTGTTTTGTCGCTCAGTAGAGGAGTGTGGGTCGAGTTATGTTTCAAAGAGTATTAATCCTTTTTTTTATTAATCCTTTTTTGGTTCCCTAATTTATTAATACCAATAGTGTGTATACTGCAGGTCGTAGTGTGTATTTACTGTGGGTTGTGTGTATATGTTGTGCGCATTCTGTGGGTTCAGTCTATATACATTGTGTATATTTTGTGGGTGCAGTCTGTATACATTGTGTACATCCTATAGGTGCAGTGTGTATACCCTGTGCACATTCTATAGGTGCAGTTACATAGTGTACATTCTATAGGTGCGGTGTGTACACAGTGTGTACATTCTATAGGTGCAGTGTGTATATGTTGTGTACATTCTATAGGTGCAGTGTGTATACACTGTGTACATTCTATAGGTACAGTTAAATAGTGTACATTTTATAGATGCAGTGTGTATACACTGTGTACATTCTATAGATGCAGCCTGTATACATTGTGTACATTCTATGGGTGCAGTGTGTATACATTGTGTACATTCTATAGGTGCAGTCTGTATACATTGTGTACATTCTATAGACGCAGTGTGTATACATGGTGCACATTCTATAGGTGCAGTCTGTATACATCGTGCACATTCTATAGGTGCAGTGTGTATACATTGTGTATATTCTATAGGTGCAGCCTGTATACATTGTGCACATTCTATAGGCGCAGCGTGTATACATCGTGTACATGCTATAGGTGCAGTGTGTATACATTGTGCACATTCTATAGGTGCAGTCTGTATGCATTGTGTACATTCTATAGGTGCTGTCTGTATACATTGTGTACATTCTATAGGTGAGATTTCGTTAGGTAGTGCCTGCGTGGGACAGGTCACAGTGTACAGGGCACTGGCTGCGTTCTATAGGTGCAGCCTGTATACATTGTGTACATTCTATAGATGCAGTGTGTATACACTGTGTACATTCTATAGATGCAATCTTTATACATTGTGTCCATTCTATAGATGCAGTGTGTACACACTGTGTACATTCTATAGATGCAGTCTGTATACATTGTACACATTCTATATACGCAGTGTGTATACATCGTGTGCAGTGTGTATACATTGTGCACATTCTAGAGGTGCAGCCTGTATACATTGTGTACATTCTATAGGTGCAGTCTGTATACATTGTGTACATTCTATAAGCGCAGTCTGTATACATTGTGCACATTCCATAGGTGCAGTTTGTATACATTGTGCAAATTCTATAGATGCAGTGTGTATACATTGTGTACATTCTATAGGTGCCGTGTGTATACATTGTGTACATTCTATAGGTGCCGTGTGTATACATTGTGTACATTCTATAGGTGCAGTGTGTATACATTGTGTGCATTCTATAGGTGCAGCCTGTATATATCGTGCACATTCTATAGACGCAGTGTGTATACATCGTGTACATTCTATAGGTGCAGTGTGTATACATTGTGCACATTCCATAGGTGCAGTCTGTATACATTGTGTACATTCTATAGGTGCAGCCTGTATTTATCGTGCACATTCTATAGACGCAGTGTGTATACATCGTGTACATTCTATAGGTGCTGTCTGTATACATTGTGCACATTCTATAGGTGCAGTCTGTATACATTGAGTACATTCTATAGGTGCAGTCTGTATACACTGTGTACATTCTATAGGTGCAGCCTGTATTTATCGTGCACATTCTATAGACGCAGTGTGTGTACATTGTGTACATTCTATAGGTGCAGTGTGTATACATTGTGTACATTCTATAGGTGCAGCCTGTATTTATCGTGCACATTCTATAGACGCAGTGTGTATACATCGTGTACATTCTATAGGTGCTGTCTGTATACATTGTGCACATTCTATAGGTGCAGTCTGTATACATTGAGTACATTCTATAGGTGCAGTCTGTATACACTGTGTACATTCTATAGGTACAGTTAAATAGTGTACATTTTATAGATGCAGTGTGTATACACTGTGTACATTCTATAGATGCAGCCTGTATACATTGAGTACATTCTATAGGTGCAGTGTGTATACATTGTGTACATTCTATAGGTGAGATTTCGTTAGGTAGTGCCTGCGTGGGACAGGTCACAGTGTACAGGGCACTGGCTGCGTTCTATAGGTGCAGCCTGTATACATTGTGTACATTCTATAGATGCAGTGTGTATACACTGTGTACATTCTATAGATGCAATCTGTATACATTGTGTACATTCTATAGATGCAGTGTGTACACACTGTGTACATTCTATAGATGCAGTCTGTATACATTGTGCACATTCTATAGACGCAGTGTGTATACATCGTGTGCAGTGTGTATACATTGTGCACATTCTAGAGGTGCAGCCTGTGTACATTGTGTACATTCTATAAGCGCAGTCTGTATACATTGTGCACATTCCATAGGTGCAGTTTGTATACATTGTGCAAATTCTATAGGTGCAGTGTGTATATATTGTGCACATTCTATAGGTGCAGCCTGTATACATTGTGTACATTCTATAGGTGCAGCCTGTATTTATCGTGCACATTCTATAGACGCAGTGTGTGTACATTGTGTACATTCTATAGGTGCAGTGTGTATACATTGTGTACATTCTATAGGTGCAGCCTGTATTTATCGTGCACATTCTATAGACGCAGTGTGTGTACATTGTGTACATTCTATAGGTGCAGTGTGTATACATTGTGTACATTCTATAGGTGCAGCCTGTATTTATCGTGCACATTCTATAGACGCAGTGTGTATACATCGTGTACATTCTATAGGTGCTGTCTGTATACATTGTGCACATTCTATAGGTGCAGTCTGTATACATTGAGTACATTCTATAGGTGCAGTCTGTATACACTGTGTACATTCTATAGGTGCAGTCTGTATACATTGAGTACATTCTATAGGTGCAGTGTGTATACATTGTGTACATTCTATAGGTGCAGCCTGTATTTATCGTGCACATTCTATAGACGCAGTGTGTGTACATTGTGTACATTCTATAGGTGCAGTGTGTATACATTGTGTACATTCTATAGGTGCAGCCTGTATTTATCGTGCACATTCTATAGACGCAGTGTGTATACATCGTGTACATTCTATAGGTGCTGTCTGTATACATTGTGCACATTCTATAGGTGCAGTCTGTATACATTGAGTACATTCTATAGGTGCAGTCTGTATACACTGTGTACATTCTATAGGTACAGTTAAATAGTGTACATTTTATAGATGCAGTGTGTATACACTGTGTACATTCTATAGATGCAGCCTGTATACATTGAGTACATTCTATAGGTGCAGTGTGTATACATTGTGTACATTCTATAGGTGCTGTCTGTATACATTGTGCACATTCTATAGGTGCAGTCTGTATACATTGAGTACATTCTATAGGTGAGATTTCGTTAGGTAGTGCCTGCGTAGGACAGGTCACAGTGTACAGGGCACTGGCTGCGTTCCTCGCCATGGTTATTGGTGTAGAAAGTATTCTTGTTTCCAGCTAATTGAAGCATTCCTGGTACAGATTATCGTTCTGATTGTGGTGTACGGTGATGCCGGCCTCCTCTTTGCTAAGAGTCTGGGCCACTCAACCCAACCTGCTGTCCTCTAATACATCAAGAGCCACGATTTCCTGAGCCCCATCCCCCACACGTGCTCCAGTGTGTTCAATAAGAGCCACAAAGTGTCCAAGTATTTTCCAAAGCGCTCTTTACGCAGGAATAGAAAGGCTTTTCTATAATGAAAATGGCTCTTTCTAGTTAACCCTTTATGAGTCCATGCTTTGACTTTAACATAGTACTTTAGCTGCCATGAGTCTACCAGATGGTACTGCTCTTTACCCCAAAAAAGGACACGGAGACCTGCCTGAATTAACAAATTATTATTGATAATCCTACGAATTAATATATCTCTGTGTATTCCAAATAGATTTATCTACCGCTACATATTTATCTTTTTAAAACTCTGCATATTCCAAATAGCTTAAATGACTTCCATAATCCTGTTATTATAACTCTGTATATTCCTTTTATTATAACAATGTGTATGCTACATTGTTGAAACTTAAAGAATGTCT